TTCAAGGAAATATTTTTGATATAGGTAGGCTTCGATAAAGTGCTTGCTTAAATTTCTTTACTCCTTCGTCTCATATTTTGTCATACATTAGGATCCTGTAGTCTTATTTTGACCACTGAACTGTAAGCTCGGCACTATATCTCTCGCTACTAGTTTTGCGTCAAGTGAGCCTCTTCTTACGGGTGATGCGGATTGCACTGCTAAATAAACCTGACAATTTATATCATTAGTTTTTTCGATGACGGAATAAATTATAACTATTATGATGTAGGACGCAATTTGGGGTACTTTCCTTTAAGCTTTGCTATATATATAGTCAGCTTTTGAAAGCAAATTCATTCTAAATCTTCTCCACTCTTAAATGACAAATATTTTATTCATCTTGATGTGCCTTTTTTATCATGTACATGTTTAAATTCGCATTTTCAGTAGTATTTTCTTGAACTTTTCTTAATTATCTTACTTCCTACTACTTTCTTCTGTTTCTTTACTTATTTCCTTTCTCTTCCTGGTTCAGCTGCTGTCAAGAGATCACCGGGACTCTGGTAGCGAAGGCTGGTGGGTCGGGCAGACCTCAGACCAGCAGATCGGCGTATTCCCTGCAAGCTACGTCCATCTTCCAGAAGATCCAGATTTGGCATCAGCATCCGACCACAGGAAATCCGGCTTTGTATGTCACCCTACGAGTGCTCTGACAGCTGTGTGCATGGCGACGACGACAACAGCTTCAGTCGATACCACTGTCGATTTACAGTTAACTTCAAGAAACCCCGAGATAAATAATGCTTTTCTGTCAATTAATCATTCTGCGAGTAGGTGTTCTATGCTGCATTCGGACGAAGCTCCTCCTCCTCGGGCTCTTCAACCTCCTCAGCGTTCTCTCCTGACTTCGTTACAACGAGCTGTTCATCTTGACTTAAGTTCGATGCCTGCAGCCTTATGGCGCAATCAAGAGCGGCGTAGGCAACGACGTCTTTGCCAACCTAGCTTTTCTACCCAAAATGGCAGAAGTTCATCATCACCGCGATTGCTCTCCCAGGATATCACGACAACTCCTTGTTCCAGGCCTTTAGAGAAGCCTGATAGAGCAGTACCAACTATTGAAAGTGATCTCACTCCAAGTCAAGTTTCTTGTTTACCTCCACATCGTGTAAAACAGCAGCAACATAATGGTCCATTGTTCACAGATTCAAGCGCCGCTTCAATCACCAAGGACCATCTCCAGCCTCTTTTTTTTGCTCAGGAGTTGGACATTCCTTTCGAGCAGGTTAGACTATAACTTTCCTTTAGTGACTAGAGGATGAATTCGCAATAGTTATAGCCGGGCTTTTATACTGTGACTTCTTCAACGTGTAAAAGTTGAAGAGCATTTGAGGTTAAAATATTTTTATTAATTATAGAACTTGTTTTACCTTGTTTTCGCAACTTGGTCATATTGGTAGGAAGACCTAGGGGAACGCATCTAGTCCGTAGTCCATAGTATGCATGATAATTT